GGAGAAAGCAAGCTCCCAGGTCCGGGACTCGAACCACAGTTGGTGGTGTGGGAGTCCAGGGCCTTTAACCACCACACCACCTGCTGGCCCACTAAATAAACTAATTCTTTAACTATTTCTTTATATATATATATACACACACACACACACACACACACACACACACATATATATATAATTTCATAAGCAGCGCAGTTTCCAGAGAAAGGTGGGTAAATTCTAATCATAATAGCCTTGACAGCTCACCACTTACTGATGACTTAGAATGAGTTGAGCATTCACTGTGCTAAGCCAGTGCTTTCCATGGACTATTTCATTTAACCTTCCCCCAGATCCATGGATAGAGGTGTGATTATTAGCCTAAATTTAATGGTCAGGAACCTACAACTCAAGAAAATGACTAATTTGCCCTAAGGCATTCAGCCACTAAGGGGTAATTGGAATTTGATTCAAGAGCCAGCGTATTATATATCGTGCAGGGAATAACTGCTGCTTAAACCTTCTTAAACCTGCTTAAACCTTCTCTGGCTCTTCTCCCACTCTTCCCCAAAGTGGAAGAGAATGTAGCGCTCACCTGCAGCCACGCTCCCTGGAGAAGGAATGAGAACTCCGCCCATGTCGAAAATCACCGCTCTGTAGGTGCTGCTGCCTCCAGAATGCGTCCATCGATGGGTTCCCTGGTGCCTGCCCCAGATGTGTTTCAAGGCCGCACTCCACGGGAGAGGAGAGGACTGGAAAAGCTTCCCAATGTACATGTTGAGGCCACGGCTGTGTGGGGAGAATGCAGAGGGCACAGCTCGCCTCCAATCCAGACTTCCATCCTGGAGCTTGGGCTGTGGGCCAGCCCCAGCTGATTGCCAATGAACATGTCAAACCACTTCCTCAACTGGCCTCAGTGTCCCCCACTCTCCAACAACTCAGGAAAGGCCTCCATCAGCCACTCAGCTGCCCAAGTTGCGAAGCTGGGATTCAGCCCCAACTCCCCGCAATCTTGGCCTAGAGCCACCTCAGCTTATTTCTCGGGGTTGTCAATTCCTCTTCCTGAAAACCACCATCTCCTGCTCTCCAATCTCACTGCCATAATCTTACCCAGTCCCAACTAGTCCCCCAGTCTCTGCTCAAACCTTTCTCCAATTCTTTCTTCACTCTTCTCCCCATGCAGTCTTGCGCAATAGCAAATCTGATCATATCCTCCCCCCCCATTTAATTGTTTAAGCAAGAAATCACCCCCCAGGGGGGATGGTCACGCCGCAGTCCCTTCTCCTCCATTCTCCTCTCGGGATCTTGGGCACGCACGCACAAGTGCCCGGCGTGAGTTTTAAGCCACAGGGTCCGGGACACAAACCACGGTCGACTATGTGGGAGTCCAGCGACATAGCCATTACGCTAACTGCTGGTTCCCAAGAGATCATTTACTTTCTTTCAACTTTTATGTAAGCTGAAATCCACCAATGGTGCTGCAATGGTAATGCAATGCTGTGTTGCTCAACCCAATGGGAAGGTCCTGGGTTTGTGTCCAGAGGTCTCCCTGTATGTGTTGGGTAAGCATGCATGTGCCATGCATGATCCAGGTTGACTGAGGCTTGCAGCAGATCACAGCATGTAGACCCCACTGAGGACACCTGTGACTCTCATTGTTCTCTTCTTCAATAAAACAAAATAAACTTTTTTATAAAAGAAGAGAATTGAGGTGGGGCTAGCAGGTGGCATAATGTAAGGCGTTGGATTCCCACATAGCCAACCGCAGTTCGAGTCCTGGACCTGCAGTTTGTTCTCACTCTCCCTCTCTCTCTCTGTCTCCTTGGTGAGTACATGTGCCCTATAACTAACCTGAAAATAATAATAATACATTATAAAATTAAATAATTTAAAAAAAAAAAGAATTCAGGGGCTGGGAGATGGTGTGGTGGTTAAGGCACTGGACTCGTACATGGCTGACTGCAGTTTGAGTCCTAGACCTGGTGGCTTGCTTTCTTGCTTTCTGTCTTGCTCTTGCTTTCTCTGGTCCAATGAAATAATAATAATAAATAAAATTAAATAATTATTTTTTTAAAATAATAGAAGAAAATTCTATTTCCTCATGAAAATCTTTCTTTTTTAAAAGTGATTTCTATAGTTAAAAAGCTTTTTACTAAAACATAGACAAGAGCAAAACAAGTTAGGAAGATAGCCTACAAGCTTTTGGGAGTCATTTCAGTGATGTCATAGAAACTCAAAAAACTAGATAAGCATCTTGCCCAGCGGTGGATGTGCTGCTCTACTGACTGCAGCCACATGGGAGGCCAGGGTTCGATTCCCAGCCCACCCTAAAAGCTGGGTGTAGGGCAGTACCTGTGTTCTCAGGCACTCAGGAGGCTGAGGCAGGAGGGTTGCAAATTCATGGCACATGGGCACCATAGTGAGATCCTACCTGAAAGAGCTGGGCAGTGGCACATGCCTAGTCTTAGCTAGTCAGGAGGGCCAGGAGAACAGCTTATTAGTGAGACCCTGTCTAACAACCAACCAACCATCCAACCAACCCCAAAAAATGACATAAACATCTAAAGAAGGGAATCTTAAGCAGTAAATATTGAAAACTATATGTTTCTCATGTAGTTGGAAATTTGCTGACTTTTAAGAATCCATTTTTATAAATTTACTTATTTATTTCTCCTGAGAATGAGACAGACAAAGGCCTGCCCAACAGGGTATTCGCGCTGTGATCTACCCCAGCCTCAGTCAGCCAGGATCATGGGCACAGGTGTGCACACAGCTGACATGTGCAGGGAGACCTCAGGAAGTAAACATGGGACCTTCTCATGTGGCCTCAGCATGGTGCACTGGATTACTGGTGCACTTTTTTTTGGGGGGGGAACACATTTTAAAATTCAAAATTTCACAGTTGAGGGCCCCCAGATGGTGTGATAGTTAAGGGTGCGGGATTCCCACATGGTTGACCACAGTTTGAGTCCCGGACCTGACAACTTGCTTTCTTGCTCTCTTTTTCTCTCACTCTGTCCCTTTCTGGTCAAATTAAAATAAATAAATAAGTAAAGTTAAATAATTATTTAAAAATAAATAAAGTTAAATAAAGTAATTCTAAAAAAAAATTGCAATTGAGGACTGGCCCCTAGCCCAGTAATTTAGGGAGCTAGATCCCACATGGCCAACTATGTATTTCAAATCCTGGTTCCAGAGATTTGAAAGACGTGCTAGGCATGTGTGCTCGCATGCTCCAAATCCCAACAGCATCAAAAAATGGAAAAGGGACTACAGTTTTACTATACTCCATAGTGGGGGGCTAGTGGGGGTGCTTTCCTTATCTCCCTCTCCATCTCTCTCTCAAGTGAGTGCACATGCCCTCTGGCAGTTAAAAAAATAATCAAAGGGTTGATTGGCATTTCCACTTTTACTTACATTCCTATGCCAAGAACAAAGTTTATGATAGAAAGAGAAATTTATTTACAGGCTTGTAAAAGTGTCAATATATTTTGTGTGGGGGCAGAGATGAAAGTGTCTTTGGGGCCTGAAGGGCCAACTTTAATCCTTATCATGGATGCTGTCCTTCACATATTCCCCCTAATGGATGCATGGGCAATGTTCCCACAGTAGCTTGCTTATTCTTTCAACTGGAGAGGATTGTTCTAGCTGCTTCCAAAGTTCTTCAGAGAGGGAGAAAAGTGCTGTACTCGCTCATACCTCCAGGCCTCGGTGTGCCTGCTGTGCTCATTGACTGAAACACCTTTCCTGACTTTATCTGCCTGGTGAATTTCCATTCATTTTTATATCACAGCCTCAGCTTTATCTCCTCCAAAGGAAGCTTTTTTTTCTTTCCAGGCAAACTGTGGTTCCTTCTTTTTTTCAAAACTCCTGTTGGAGCAACAGTACCGTGAAACTGCTTTCACATCTATCCACCCCTAGACTTGTAAGTACCTTCCAACAAGGACTATCATATTCATCTTTGTATACATCCATCTCCTGGGGCCTACTACAGGTTCTAGATACATAGCAGGTATTCAGTAGGAGCTGGAAGGATGCATAGATTGGGGCCAGCAGTTGGCGTGGAGGTTAAGGCTCTGGATCCCACATGGCCAACTGCACGGTTCAAGTACATGACCTGACGGTTTGCAAATCATGGCAGGTGTTTGTTCATGCATGCCCCAAATCCCAAAAGGAGACTGGATGAGGAGTGACTGTTGTGGCCATCCTCCCAGTGGGGGTGGGGGATGATTTCTCACTTTCTTTCACTCTTTCTCTCTGTCTCTCTCTGGTGAAGGTACACATCCTACAGGAAAAACTTTTTTTTAAAAAAGGGAAGGATGCATACACAGATGAATCAGAAAAAGTAAAGCTAGAGACAGACTTAGTGCTTGGTAACCACAAAGAGCTTTAACATGCCCAGCTTGCCCATACAGGGCTAACAATTATTTTCTGGAACTGGCATCTTGCTTCTGTACTGTAAAGAGTATTTGCCAGAGGACCAGCAGATGACATAATGGTTATATTGCTGGGTTCACACATGGCCAACCACAGTTCGAGTCCTCGATCTGTGGCTTCAAACTTATGCCAGGTGCATGTGTGTGCATGCCTAAAATCCCAAGAAGAGAATGGAGAAGGGATTGTAGTGGCCATCACCGCCAGGGGGAAGTTCCATCACCGCCAGGGGGTAGTTGCTCTTTCCCGCTCTATGCCTCCCCACAAACCCTCCTCAGAGTGCACATGCCCTAAGGCAAAAACCTCTAAAAAAAAAAAAAAAGTGTCTTCTCACTGCCGCTTAGAATACTGTGATTAACATAGTGATACAGATTTAATATCTAAGTTATGCTTTCATAAGTATGTTCACATAGTTGTGTGTGGTCATACATTAAGGAGATAGCTTAATAATGAGATTAGGGGTGTTGGCTCTGAAACCAGATTGCCTGGGTTCGAATTCTAGTTTTACCATTTACCAAGTGTGAGATCTTAAACAAGTTACAGGGACAATTATAGTACCTGTCTCATAAAGTTGTTACAGCGCATGAGATAAAGTATTCAAAGCACTCAAGTTAGTAACTGGCACACCACTGGATGTTATCTATTACTGTAATATGCTATGAAAAGTTCACATGAAGTCTCATGTTACAGACATATACTGTGGTTTCACGGTGTACGCACTTTCACATAAAAGAGTGATTCGCAACAGGGGTTGGGGTTGATTTTGACTCCACAGGGACATTTTGAAATGTCTGGAGACATTTTTAGTAGCCACCAATCAGAGGTGCTACTGTTGTCTAGTGGGTCAGGACAAGAATGTTTCTAAACATTGTACAATGAACTGGACACACACATGCACCCCAAAGACTGATCATGACCCAAAATGTCAAAGATGCAAAGGTTGAATAAAACTGATATGAACAGTATATGCTGAAACATAATTAACTGGGTACAGTTTACAAGCTATAATATAGGCATTTATCATGAGATCATGCGATAAATGTATATTCCTGTACCTACACATGTCCACGATGTACTGTGACACATCTTATATATCACTATAGCATATACCTAGAATAGCATCGACATGTATGTTTTAATTGTGGCTGTCATTATCTACATGTAAAAGCAGTTTTACATACTGGAAAGAATGCTAATGAAGTCTTTTGCAGCCATCATTTCATCCTCACAACCGTAAGAAGATGTTTTCCCAACTTGATGCAATGACTAGCTCAAGGTTACACAACAGGTGATGAAAGTCCACTCCGAACGGGCAAGGAGTGTATCTTATTCACCGATGTATCTCGAGGACCCCAACAATGCCTATGTTCTCGTAAACAGTTGTGAAGTGATGGGGTGGGGAGCAGGACCCTGACCTATCGCCAACACCGTGCTCTTCAGCAGCCTATCGCCTTGACCTTAAACGGAATCAAAAATCCCGGAATCGAGCCCCAGAAAAGCAACTTCACCTCTCTGGGCCTCATGGTAACTATCTGTAAAGCTGGGCGGATACAAAAGCAACTCCACCTCGGGTTAGAGAGAGGGGTCAGACAAGAGCAAAAGGCTGTCTGCCAGTGCAGGTTCTCGGACAACTCCGAAACCCAGCGGAGGCTGGAAGCCCGCACGGCCGGTCGAGGCGGGTAAGGATGAGGGACCTCGGACAGGCAGAAGGTAACTCGGGCCTGGGCGCAAACCCACCGCTCAGCCTCACGGAGGGCCCAGCGCCTGCAACCCCAGCGACGTCCTTCGCCTCCGACCTCTCCAAGCTCCTACCCGGAAGCGCGCAGGCTCTCCTTCGTGCCACCCCGCCCAATCGGCCAGCGCGCTCGCGTGCGCATGCGTGACCCCGCGGGTCAGCGACGGCGGCCGGGAGGCGGAAGTGGAGGTTGTTGTGGCTCTGAGGGCTGCGCGAGGAGCTGCTGCTGCTGAGGCGGCGGCG